TCACGAGGCCGTAGGTGAAACTCAGAAGCGCGGGAACGCTGAATTTGAATAGACAGGGTCAAGCGTGGGCAGGGGGTCATTATCCTAAAATTTCAGCCTGCTAGACTCCGTGGTCCTCGAGATATTAATTTACCCGTAAAAAACTTTCGCGAGGCCGTACGTGTTACCCGTGGGTACTGCTGTTACACAACCCAAAGATTGCTGTTGCCGAAGTGTTCGCAGCACAGCAGTTTTGTACTACTGTTACACAGCACTAAACGCATAAAGAAAAAACCACGATAATCCGTAGCAAATGATTGCTATTGCCGAAGTGTTCTATCTGTTGGGCACTTTTGAGTACCACGACTCCTCAAAAGTTATGTAATTATGGGGTGGTTTTGTTGTTAATTCAGATGTGCGTTTTATCTTCCATAACGTCCCTTTATGACCCTTAGCCCTATGAAAAATCTTGAATGAGTTCATTGTCCCGCAGTATTTCACGACAGTTGCTTTATGATCGAAAAATTTTCTGAATTTCAGGTCGGTGATTACGAAGCAACAACGATGTCGATTTTCTGGAACAACATCCTGTTTCTTTCGCTCCTCATTTTCTTGTCATTCTTCGTATTTCATTCCATTTCCCCGACTCTTAATTGTCTTTTTTCAATGATTGGTGCTGCTGGCCTTGTTGCCCTCTTTTCTACCGCCAAATAAACTTGGGACAAATTTTTTCTCGTAGTGAAGAAAGGGTCATATATTGCAGTCATTAGACATATAGTTAAATCTTTGTATAAATAAAACAAATTCTCTTTCTTAGTTTATGTATTATTTTGGAAAATTATTTACCAGGATTAGTTTTGCTATTGGTAGGGGATCTGTGATTGCCAAAATCGCTCGAACCATGACCCTTCGTACTATTGGAAGTATGAAAATGTTATTAATTTCTTGTGTGTTTACAGTTCCTATAAGCTAGGATGCTGTTATGTGTAACTAAGAATTTGGGGGAGGGGAGGAACAGGGAGGTTTAAAACTTTGACCCCTTCTTTGCTGCTTCCCCCCTACCGGCGAAAATTTTGCCGATGTTTTTTGAACAGAAATTCCTACGGCAAAAAGCTTCAGCTGGATCAAGTCGATAATCAGAATGGTTAAGACTTTCCCCCCGTGCCATTCTTTGTTCTTCATTTCATCGTCGTATTTAGCCCGTCCCCTTTGAATTGTACCGTGATTTTGGTTCTTTTTCCTGCAAAGATTTGTTTTTTGCATTCTTTACTGTGTTTTACTATATCTAAACTGTATTTTAATGTGCATTCCCGGTGAAATATCCAAATTTTCATCAAAATTTTGCCCAAATTACCCGTTTTCGGTTAGTTCATCCTCACTTTTCCCACCCGCCGTCTCCGTTCCTCCAGGCATTCTTGCTTTTCACTTTACTCTGGCCACTGTCGGATTAAAATTTTTGTTGCCCAGGATTGATGGCACGATAATATTCTTTTACAAATGTGTCTTGTACATTCAATATTATCACGGAGGTTGCATTCCCTCCCCCTCCCCTTCTCCTCCCCCTGCCACCTCCCTCGTCCCTTCTCCTATCCTTGTGCTGTTTTGTTGACTAGCATTTACCACTTGTTCGATGTATGCGTGCCAGCTGTTCGGGGGCTTTCTTAGCGATTTATTTCGGATTTTAAGCTGCACAGATAGTTTGACAATTATGGTTAAGTCTATCTTATAAGCAAGCAGGACAGTTCATGGCCATATCCTTCATCAAATATATGAGAATTTCCAATCACCTGTTTAAAAAAGGGTGTTTTTCCTGATCAACGAGACGCTAAAAATTACATAAAATATAAGGTTTTTGCTCATTTTTTGTCTGCTTTTCAGTATTTTGCATTGTTCTAACCAATGGTCACTGTATGGATTTGACCTACGACTTTGGTGACTGTTTTATTAAAGTTCTTTTGTTATATGTAATTTTTTTTCCATCTTTGTGTAGGTTTGTCTGTGAATTAATTTATTCGAAAACAGAACAGCTACAAAGTTTC